GTAGTTCTGTAGCTTGGATTTGAGCAAACGCGCGTTCATTAGGTCTAGTTTGCAGTAAGCTTGGATAATCATCAGTTGTCACTTCTTCTCGTCCTGCGCAGCCACATTCGGTGGTGGACGGATTAAAACTAGTTTTTTCAGTTGAAGAAACGGGATACGCTTGCGTCCGAGTCGCGGCGCACGTTGGCCGGCGAGTCCGGCAAAGTGGGAAGGCCGCTTGGAGCAGAGCTTGGGTCGGCGATCGGCGAGGCCTCGACGATCGGCGAAAAAATGCGACCGGCGGTCGACTTTGGCGTGCTGGGGGATGACATCTTGAGCGTTTTTCGTTTCTTCCGTTGAAAAACTAGTTTTATTCTGTCCACCACCGGATGTGGCTGCGCAGGACGAGAAGAAATGAGAACTGATGATTATCCAAGCTTACAGCAAACTAGACCTAAACCTAATGGAAACCTTGAGGGAGGATCTGGGTTGCTGGCGCATGGGGGGATCATGGTGTTCGGTTCTTGCTCGTGGACGAAACCAGACTCAGGGATGTTGCTTGATTATCCCGGAGTCCAACTGGTCACGACCAGAACAATGGGGACCCCCTGTCCGTGTTGTCACCTGACAGATCGACCTTCTGAGGAGCCACGAGATCTTTCGAAACATCGCAGACCACAATAACAATGGTGGAGGCAAAGCGAAAGCAGCGGGCGGAGGGCGCGGACGAAGACGACGCTGACCCACCAAGGAGGCTGGTGAAGCGGATCAGGACAGCTAGGGCAGCGCCCAGGTCGGCTGCCAAAGCGACGACGAGCAATGCCGCTAGACAAGTGTCAAACCAGGTGCGCGTACCGCCTGCGTCCAAGTGCTGTGTTGTTCAAGAGGGGCTGCGTCCAAGTGCTGTGTTGTTCAAGAGGGGCTGTAGGACGTCGAGTCTCCAGGGTTCCTACTGCCAGTGGCCGAGTCCCTTGGTTCTGACGGAGAAATCGGAGAAGAGGTTGACGACGTCGGCGTGCCCCCCGGCACACGCGGTACGATGTCCTCACTCGCCGGGACGTAATAAACTCGCATTGACTAGGCCAAAGACGTTCCGCGGAGGCGATTTTCGACGCCTTTATGACCGAGGCCAACTACACTTGGGACACTGTGCGAGAGGACTGGAAGAAGACCAGAGCGGCAGAGGTCGAGAGCAGTGCGCTCCCACGCCGCAACATCTACACGATTCTTCACAACTTTGTCGTGTTCCTCTACAACCGCACGTCCAAGCGGTCGAAGAACAGCGAGGGCGTGCTCTCGTTGGGCACTGCAGACAACTATCTCTCGCAGGTCTAAATGTTAGCTCTCTAAACCACTGTTGAGCGTCCATGTTTGTAGATCAAGAACCGCATGATACAGGACTTCAGCGCAACGAGCCTCAGGAACTCGGCGCGGTGCACGAAGATTCGTAGTTTCTTAAGACACAAGTTTACGGACCGAGCAGGCCAGAAGCAACTCTTCCAGCAGCAAGCGCCTGCCATGACCGTCCAAGACGTCAACATTCTCGGCAGCATGCTACACAAGAGAGGTATAATCTGACGATCTTGAACATGTGTATCACTGTGAGGACTTAGGCGACAAAAAGTCGATTCACGTGGCGTGCACTCTCACCATCATGTGGCACATGCTTGGGCGTGCTATTGATTCGTGCTGGCTAACGCGGCAACAGGTCCTACATCGTTGTATGTAGGATCGCAGTACCACTTTCAAGTCTGGCTAGCTCTCGATCGTGCCCGGTGGCGATCTGTTTGTCAACTTTGCCCGACTGAAGACGTCGTCGCTGCAAGGAGTTGCGCTTGTTCCACATAAGACTGATCCGTTGCTATGCCCATTTGTGGCTCTCGCTGTCCTGCTCGTTACATCCGAGCCGAGCCCACTTGTTATCGAGCTCGTCCGCGACCAAGGGTCTTCGACTCGCGTACGCCACCTCTTGGAAAATGCGTTCTAGTCGCTATACCATGTGCACTAGGACATGGAGGACGTTGGGGCTATATCCCAGCTCGAGGCTTCCATCGAGGGCATCGCGGACGACCTTGGAGAGACACCGGAGTTTGACGACGACGAGCCCGATGATGCCGGCGCAGAGGCAAAAGCGGCCAGGGCCAAGATCCAGGCCGACAGAAAGAGACCATCGATGGCCCAGCTACTCAACGCCCAACTGAAGGACCTCGAGCGCGAGTACAAGGGAAGCGGTGCTACTTCGACTCGCAAATCGGTGTCTCATGTAACCACACATTAGGGGTTGTTGACGAGCTGGACTCTGTCGGTCTCACACCCGGCCTGCAGTTGCACTCGGTTTGTCGAGGCTCTGCGGCGTGTGCCAGTTCCTCGCACAATATCAACATGCAATGGATTTGCACGCGCGGCCATTGGCCGATGGACTCTCTGAGCAAAGCATTTGCATACATTGGTACGCCAACCGCTAATGTCCACGTTTGCACCTCGTGTCTTGTACTACGAAATAGGAACCACCCTACAGGACGATAAAAAAATCGCCAAGTGTCTCTCCGGTTGGGACCCCGAGGCGACGGTGATTCCGCCGTCGTTGAAGCCAGTGACCGACACGCACACAGAGCAAGACAACGCGGCGCTGCTCCGTTTCAAGCACAGAGTCTTCAAGAACGCACTCGGGTTCAACGGCACACAGGAGCGCTCCAACGTGCCCAACGCCGTGTGCAACGCTCTCTTCGCATCCTTGCTCATGCACCTCCCGTTCCTCCTCGAGCTGAGCCCAACGTCGGACCTCGCACGCGTCGTTCGGGGCGCGTGCGATGAATCGCGCTGCTCGCTTGAGCAGCTGAAGGCGGCGTCTGACACGATTCGCCAGAAGTTCGAGTCGGATCACCCTCGACACGAATGCAAGACGTGCGACATCCCGATGCAGTTCCGCGAGCTGCACGCGAAGTTGGATGTGCTGCAGGCTAGTTTCGAGCGCTTCACGCAGGTCATGCTGCAACAGCAACAGTTGTCGTCTGGTGGCTCGCAGCCGCCACTGGCACCGGCACTCGTGGAGAGCCCACCAGCTGCGATCGCACCACTCGCAGCGACACCGATGCATTGGCTCGACACCTACAACAAGATTACGCCCAAAACCTTTGTCTACAAGTGGTTTACCGAAGAACCCTGGACGCGCGAGATCCAAGGTGGACCTTACCAATCCACAGATGAGCAACCTCAAGAGTTCGTTGGCCATTATCGAGCTCGTAGCTCAAGTTCCCTTTCGTATCTCGGCCCCAGTCGACCGTGACGTCGATATGGCAGCTTACACCAAGTGGAAGTCCCACGTCCTCGCCGTGGCCGAGAAGCTGGAAGTGGCGTTGTTCGCTAACTTCAAGCTCTTGGACGGAAAAGACGTGGCGTCCAGCGCGTCGAGCCTACGTACTCGCTTCGGCGACTGCGTGAGAGGGCCTACCGCCACGACAACAAAGATCGTGGATATGGCCTCGGCGACCCAGCGCATGCTCGACGGCAAGACGCTATGGGACGAGGTCACTCCCGTCAACTACGATGGCCTCCCGAAGCTTATTCTGAAGCATCTACAGTAGATGACCATTCACGTCTATGTTACATAAAATACTCTCATTCTAAGTCTCTTCATCACGCAGTCGTTCGTGCGGGACCTCTTTGGCACATGGGCGCACACAAGCTTGTGCGCGCTCGTTGGCACGAGAGGAACCGGCAGCTAGTTGGTGCTCGTGGGCGCTCTTCACGGTCGCTGACATTCATCGGGGTCGGTGCCTGGGAGTCGCGGCGACGCTGTGGCCACGACCGGCAGGCCTGTCTTCAATTGCTCATTGGCGAATGCTTGACCGGGCGCACCCGCCGCTCCACCAATCCTCGATTGCAAACGCGAAAAATGGTATACGATATAGAGTCATGGGAATACGAGTATCTAAGATTTGCGTCGGCGCGACTGCCGCGGCGTGGGCTTGCGCGCCTTGCGGTCGCGCGAGAGCTGGACGATGCGCCGCCAGAGCCAGCCCGAAGCCCGCCGCAACGCCGGCGAGTAGGCGAGTGCCCCTATGAGGAGCTCGCCACCGAGCACGAGGCCGCGGCCGATCCACGGGATGACCGCCGGGAAGCGCACGAAGAGCGCAATGGGCATGAGCACGCCAAAGACGAGGCCCTTGCGCTCGACGACTACCTGCCACACGTTGCGCCACTCGCCGCGCGCCGCCGACTCGCGCGCAAACACAAACTCGCCGTGGAGATCACGCACATACAGCTGGAATGCGTCCTTGACGATCGTCGCATCGCCCAGCACGGAGCTAAAGACCTCTTCTTCATGGTGCGGTGGCGGCGGCGACGACGTCTGCTGCCAAAAGCGCGACGAACTGCCGGCGCTGTCGAGCTCGGCGCGCCGTGTCGGGTCGCTCAGGATCTCGTACGCTTCAGTGAGGCCGCGAAACTTGTTGGCCGCTTGCTTGTCGTTTGGGTTGAGATCGGGATGGCACTTTTTAGCTTCGCGAAAGTAGGCGAGCTTGATGTCCTTGGCCGTCGCGGTCCGAGGCACGTTGAGCAGGTTGTACGGGTCCTTCTTCGTCGCCGACGACGAGAAGATGTAGCGCACGGTCGTCTGCGCGCTGGCGAGGCTCGGGCGCAGCGGTGCAGTAGACGCCAGACGCACGGTCGAGGCGCGCTGAAGCGTTCGCAGCAGCATCGCGAGGTTCCGGGAATGGTGGAGAAAGGACGCCCACGGTACACCAGCCGAGAATGCTGGTCTGTACCATCACTCCGCTGTGCTGCATGTGCGTATCCGGATCACGATATCCGGATGTGAAATCGTTTGGCGACAACCTTTCATGCGTCAACGGCATCAAGCCAGGGTATTCATAAGGCTAACACAATAGTAGCTACTTTAGAAAAACGACTAGCGTAGACATGCTAATGTTATGGTATCGCACCGGTACGCACGGAATATCATTTTCTCATCCATAGAAACCACCACTGCTTCCAACTGCAACTCCGCCGCGGCGGCTCAGTGATATACTTGCAGCTTTAGCCATGCGGATACTACTGCAGTGGCGTCGGATAGTACGCTGTGGTGTCGTGTACGCCAGCACTCGTGTTCTCTTGATACGATGGACTACGCCGATGGGGCATGGAGACGCTGCAATTCCCGCAGTGAAATCGCGTGCATCTCGCAGTTGGCGAGCTTCCGAGAGGCCTTGGTCGCACGCTTGATGAAGCTACTGTGGCACACGACGGCAATGTGCATCTCAGGCAGCTCGTTCAGATGACGCAGCAGCTCCAAAATGCGGCGATTAACTTCCGTCGACGTCTCGCGAAGCGGCGCTACGTCCTTGGGCGTCGTCGGCGTCGGCATTGGTGTCGCCGGAGGTGTCGGCAGCCACCAATAATCGCGCAGACTCGTAAAGTCAACGCATTTTCCCATGAATGCCTCTGCCAACTCTATGGCATGCGTGAGACTCTGCCACACAACCGACTAGTGCAAGCCCACCCGATGGCTGGCGACCAATGTCACAGGCGGTGTCGAGCATCTCGCGGCAGCTCGCGTGAACTACACAAGCAAACCATTAATTAGCTGAGCACGAGGACGATGGAACCTTGGAACGGAATGCTGCTGCCTTCAAAGCCGCCAAGCGCCGTCTGAATCGCACGCGTCAGAGGGCTTGTGATGACCTACGACCAACTTGAGAGCAATGTAGATACCTTCAACCGTACAAGTTGAATGGATTCGTGGAGCTTCTTTTGCAGGATCTCGTTATGGAGCTGCTGTACCTAGTGCCCAGCTCAGTCGGGGCTCGACGAGGCAGTCTCGCACCTGCAGCTCGCCCTTCGGGCTCAGCGGAGCGTCGATGATCATTGGGTCCTTGACAAAGATCCACGAGAAGGTCCAGAGGCTGCGCGTTCGCCACTCGTTAAAGGTCGACTCGCCATGGCGCACAAAGTAGATGGTCTTCTCGCCCGACATGCTGCCGCTTCGAAATGGAGTTTGCACTTGGGCTGGCCTTTCTGCAGACTATATCCGTTAAGTATGTTTAGTGTACAATTGAACTTTGCGCGGTATGCATGAGTTACGACACTTCGATCGTCGTTGTGGCACAATGCTGCACCTACGTTGTATGGCACGTCTTGGGTAAAGCATAATTGCGTTGACACATCGTCGCAAGATGCAGGCCTTGCTGAGAGCTGGCCGAGGCCATCGAGCAGCGATGTAAATAGTGTAAGGACCCGGATCCGGATGGTTCAGTTTCAATTGGCAGCATGGCGGCAGTGGCCGGCTGGACGCGCGAGGTCTGCCCGACTTGCAAGAAGAGTAGCAAGTTCTACTGCGCGACGTGCTTTCTCAGCCTTGGCGCGCCGTCCGATGTTGACGTTCCGCGCATCAAGCTCCCGGTCACCGTCGACGTCATCTTCCACGACAAGATCAAGAAGAGCACGGCGCCGCAGGGCAAGGTCGTAGCGCCTGATGACATTCACATCATCCCATTCCCATACAAAGACGGCGCATCGCCAGTGTACGATCCATCCAAGGCCGTCATCGTCTACCCGTCCAACGACGCGCTTGTGCTGGACGAGCTCGAGGACCTCGATCAGCTCGAGACGCTCATCTTCATCGACTGTCCGTGGCAGAAAGGCCCTGCAATCTTGAACGACAAGAGCCTCTCACACCTCCGCGCTGTCAAGCTCGCCAAGCCGCCGCTCCACAGCAAGTTTTGGCGCTACCACTCGAGCGGTGACGGTTGTGTCTCGACGATCGAAGGTACACGCTTCCTACCTGTCTGCATATGCTCACGCGATGCCGTAGCTGTCTACTTGATGCTCGAAGAGTACACGGCGGCGATGCACGCGCGCAACTTGGCGCTGACGTCCACCGACGACGTCTCGGAGATCTTGTACTACTTCAACCTCGTGCACGACACGATCCTCGAGACGCACAAATCGGACCCGAACCGCCAGCTCGACCGAGCGCCGATGAGCGAAGCCGAGAAGGAGCGCCAGCGTCTCCTCCGCTGCCAGAAGGAGCAGGGTCAGAAGCGCAAGCGGGAGAACCGAGAGGCCCACAAACGCAAGGTCGCTGAAGATGTTGCGACCGGTGTGCTCCCCGGCTGGGTACGTCCTCCTGTTCTCATACACCCTTGCGTTATCGTATATGATGTTTAGCCGGCAAAAAAGTGCTACAACTGCGACACGCGCGGCCACGAAGCCAAGGCGTGTCCCGAAGTCTGCCGCTACTGCAAGGTCGAGGTGCACTTCCACGCCACGTGTCCGATGAAGGGCGTGCGTCCAGCGGAATCCGCAGCCAAGTACACAAAGGCTCTTTAAGACTCGGGGTTTGGAACCCCGACCTGCTTAATGTACTCGTCCTCGAGCTCTGATCGATCAAATGCATTGCGTTCGATCTCTTCCAGTATCAACCGTCGGCCCGGCGACGCGGCGTCGAGCGACATCAGTGCACGTTGCAGCATCGTGGCCGCTAGTTCAAACTGACGTGTCTGGCGATAGCACTGCCGGAGATGATGGGCGGGCTGGCGTCGCTGTGGCGAGGCGTTTCGTAGTGCCACGTCATGGCTTGTGGTGGAGCATTCGGAATTTGTACCAATCAAAACCGGGAAAGTGGGCAGGCACGTTCAACCACACTAGAATCACACCATTTTTGACGATGGACAAGCGAGCCAAAGCGACAGTGGACCTCATGCCCGAGCTCATCAAGCGTGTGGCCATGCTCGTCAAGGCGTCCAAGGATATGCTCTCGCTCCTGCAGGCGCTCCCAGCCGAGTGGCTCACGAAGCCATTGGCCGCGTTGCGCAAGCGCTGTGCACACCCCGCGCCTCGTGGTCCCGGTGGGCGATGCGTTCCACCCTTGCTTCGTGCAGCTTTGGCCGCGCCTTCAGCTGCCGTACGAGATCACGGACCCCGAGCTGCGCGCCTGGATGGCCACGGCCTTGTAGTCTATGCTCGATATTTCCGGCGTCGACTTGGCGCCGTCGTACCTCAGTCCCCGAGAGGTCCGACGCACTCCATTGTACCGGTAAGCTCCCCGAAGAGACGTACGTACCCAATCCCCATTGCAACCCTTTTTGCGCTTCGAAGAGGCTCCGAGTGCTATGCGCGTCATTTTTATTGCGTTTGAGATGCCAAGGGATGATTTCTATTCAAAATTCCAACGTCAAATGACTAGCGAGGCTCCCATGGAGCTGACAAAAAGAGTGGAAGTCGGACGTATGGATGCATCATTCAAGAAGAATGATAGCGGTGGCGAGCATTTAAATATTTAAATAGTGGAAATATTCGAGGTCATGTGAGGTGGTTACAAAAATAAAATAAAATCGAAGTGAGAAGCATGGGGGAATGGCGTGTGTGAGTTTGTGTGGGGTGTTGTGGTGTACTAGTACTATGCAAAAAGCGAAGGTAGATTCTAATGCCGTGGTTTTTGCGTGTTTGGGTGAATTTTTAATATTATAGGTTTTAATTTCCTGAAAGAGTCGTAACGGTGCGCTATTGGTTTAGTGGTAAAATATCTCGTTGCCATCGAGATGCCCCGGGTTCGATTCCCGGATGGCGCATGACTTTTTTGGGATTTGTATTTCTAATTTCCGATTTCACAAAGTACGACCCTGTTTTTTTAGTAACCAACAAGACAACCTCTTTCCACGCCTCTCAGCTATTTAATGGTGTATCACTAGGACCTGGTATCAACAAACTTCCATCGATTGATTGAATTTTCTGTCATTTTTGCATCTTTTTTTCGACGACTTATCACAGCTCTTCGGTGTCCTCTTGCACGCGATGTCATCGCTTATCCGTGCGCGACGCCGGAGACAGCTGTGACGCAGTGTTTTAACCGAATCCAGCTCCTTGGTATCGCCATCTTCGACCCTCTCGAGTGGCTTCTCACGTCCCAAACCACTTTGGCCACGCTGCTTCGGACGCTACCGGCGCTACAGGAGGTCCCCTTGATGCTGAACGATCGCGCTACTTGTAACCTCTTTCCATCCTCCGAGCGCTCACGTCAAAGCCGATTCGACACGCCACGATTATCGAACACGGCGAGAACGAGTGATCCGAGGCTGCCGTCGCAGCAGTGGTCTCGTGGCTGCGCACCGGGTCGCTCAAGATCCTCGAGGTCCAGTGCTGTAGCATGACGGATGTCGCGCGTCGCGTCTGAGCATCGCCATCGCAGCGTCCCGCACCCTCGTCGAAGCCCGGATCGAGGATGGGACGCTCGCGCGGCGCTTTTTCAAGACCATCCAAGTGCTGGCGTCGCAGTTGGTCTCGGCATATCTCGTAGATCTTCATCAAGAGTACTTGCCTGTGATTGCCTCGGCCATTGCGTCCTCGCACCTCCGACCCGTGGCTCTCAGCTTTAACGACGTGATGGTAAACCCGTTCCCTGAAGCGACGCTCGCTTTTGTTTGAAGCTTTGGTCATTTGCGCTCGCTTCACTCGTGCGAGGTGTCCAATATCATGCTCTCGTTGGGCTTGCGTGACGCATTTTGCGCTGCTGCTTCCGCAGCTCACGTTGGCTCGATTGACGTCGCATCGCCTCGATGACAGCGCGGCCATCGCCGTGGCGTCCGTGCTGCCGCACTGTCCCTCGCTGCAGTCCTTTCATTTGATGCACCAAGAGCTCGGCGACTGTACCGCCACGAAGTTCGCGCAGGTCGTGCCTCAGTGCCCGTCGCTGAAGGATCTCTGCCTGAGTACCGCGTTTGCGTCATCTGAACGCCTTGAGCCTCGAGAAGAACGCGATTGGTGTCGACGGCGCGATCGCGCTGAGCCAAAGCGTGCACGCGACATGCCACTTGAAGTTGACCGGCCTCTGTGCCAACCTTCTCACAAAAGAAGGGGTCCTTGCGATCGTCACTGCACTCGGTCGCTGCGTCTACCGGGAGGGCGTCGTCGACGTTGTCAACACACTCGGTGTGGACCGTGGCGCAAAAGACGACGACGAACAGCCCGCCGATGGCAACGACGAACAGCCCACCAACGAAGGCGACGTCGAGTGCGAAGCGGTGGTCGAACGACGGCCAGACGAGGCGTGGATCAACTTTGATCGAGAAGATTCTCGCCACGAAGACTACCGGTAGTGTAGCCAGCGTCCTTTGCTATCATATAGCAAAATGCTATCCAGACGCTAGGACGACAAAGCGTGTTGCATCTGCGCATAGCCATCGGATGCACATACTGGCCACATGGAAGCCATGCGAGTGGAAGGTAGTGTACGTACCTCCACGCCTCGATCGCTTTACCTCCACACGACAAGAAGAGATCCTCGGGCGAGGCGAGCAGCCGAATCGGCCGTAGTAACCTTACGGCATCGCTCTGCGACCTCGTCTAAGGTCTACAGCCAACCTTGGACTCGGACTGCGGCGCTAGACCCGAGAATCTCGTAAATGAGCAATTTGCTGAAACTGGTTTTACATGGGAAAGGACTTGGAAATGGTCAAAACATTGTTGATGTTTCTCCATCGCACTTGCTCAAGAGCGACAGTCACGCATACAAATGCACGTTAAGGCTCGGAGCTCTGGCCCTCGACCCGCTTTATGTACTCGATGTCGAGCTCCGATCGATCAAATGCATTGCGTTCGAGCTCGTCCAGCACCAACCGTCGGCCCGGCGACGCGGGGTCGAGCGACGCCAGTGCCCGTTGCAGCATCGTGGCCGCGAGTTCAAACTGACTTGTCTGGCGATAGCACTGCCCGAGACGGTATATCGTCGCTGTGTGAAGAGGCTGGTGCATCAAGAGAGCCTCGCAGTGCCGAATCGCAAGCGGAAACTGCTTCTTCACCTCAAAGAGCCCGCCAGCAATACTCGCGTGGCAGGCGCAGCCAAGCTAAAAAAGAGAAGGTCGATGTCGTGTACATGAAGGGACAACGTACGTCAAGAAGCGCGGGGTGCGACCACGGCAGCGCCTCGAGCGTGTCCAAAATGGCCTGGTACTTTTGGTTTGAGTAGGCGTAGAAGCCCTCGAGCATGATCACATCGGCTTCTTCACGCAGCAAGACCATGCGCTCGATCGTCTCCTTGTGCGTCGGACGCTGGAGGTACTGCATCGCTGCCGAATACACTTCGTCTACCACCCACGGTGACGCTTTGTTGCGAGGTGGAGAGTTCCACGGACCTTCGCTGACGACATCCTGAACGAGTTCGTCTTCGACCTCGGCAAGCTGCTTGCTGCCATCGCCCGAGTCGGACCCTTCCTACCGATACGACATGTCATGGCACCAAGCTCGCTAAGAAGAGCAACAAGTCATCGAACCAAGAGCACGACCTTGTTCAGATGCAACATGCCGATCAACGTCGCCCCTAAACGCACACTTAAGATCGGCTGACGCCGCGGAGAAGAGAGCGTACCCATCGACATGAACGCGGTGCCACGGAGGCGCCAAGCACCGAGGTGGTTGCCATCTTGGAGCAGTGCGAGCTTGAGATGCTCCGAGGCAGCGCCAAAGTGGCAGCGCTCGAGCTCGCACTTGCCAAGGCCGAGAAGCGCGTCGATACGAAGCATGTGCGCAATGCCCTTGAGATCGCTGCTCTTGGGCAGCGGCTGGACGACGACCGGCGCGGACTTCTCGGGCTCGTGGCACGAGCAGTCGTGGTGGTCCGTGCACGCCTCCTTCTCGACTGGTTTGTTGGCCTCGAGAACCTCTTCGGAGAGCTGCAGCTGCGGAATGATGCCATCGAGGTCGTCCATGGCGCTGAGAACGTGCTTGTACTCGTCAATGGCGGCGGCCGCATGACCCTTCTTGAGCAGCGCATCGGCTTTGCCTCGGGCCGTCATGGCCGTTTGGATCGCGACGCTTTTGCGCTGCAGGAGCGACGCCTGTCGCTCGAGCTCTTGCACTTGGTTGAAGGAAGCGGGCGGCGACGGCCCAGCACGAGGTGCGCGCGCAGCGGCCTTCTTGGCCTTGAGCGCCGCAAGCGCCGCCTTGGTCGCCAGTACCTCGGCCGAGTCGCCTGCGTCCGCGACGACATGTACCTTCTTCTTCTCGTAGTCTTGCGCTTGGATCTGCTGGCGCTCCTTCTTCTCTTCCTCTTCCATCTGCTGCATGACCTTCTCAACATCGTACTTCTCCCATGCTGCGTACGACGTCATCGTCGCTTGGCCAAGATCCCGAAGGTATTGCGTCAAATCTCATTGGCCATTAACCAAGGGGTTTTCGTCCAATCCAATGCGGCACACGATTGGCGCCTTTCTGAACGCCCACACAATCTCAATGCCGATACAGCGGCACCGCTACGACGCCACCGCCGCGACAACGTTGTCCAGCGTGTACATATTTGTCATGCATGTCGTCGACCCATCGTCCCGATCGTGCGGTGGCATGAGAGTGGGAAATTTGGTCATACTACTAGTACTAGTACTAGTCCTCACTACTACTACTAGTTTGCAGTACAAGTATTCTGCAGTATATTCTGCCATTTTGACAATGGGTCTTCTCGTTGGGATTGGGAGGCGTCGTTGGCACCACTCGAGGGATTGTTGCTGTGTCGTAGCACTCGAGAACACCACTAACGCACGCCCACAACGTCGACAAAAATCCTGCAGCGCGGCCTCTTGCGACTTTTCGTGCCAGTGGCCAGCCCTTCCAATGGCCGCTAGCTCCATGAGCAGCACGTGCTTGTATGTGTGGATCGCTCACTCTTCTCGGTCGCAAGGGGTCTGTGGCTCATTTCTGTGCAGATCGTGGCGACACAGCAGACGGCGGAGCGTTGATTGGCCAGCGAGGTGTCTACTACCATCACTTTGCCTCCATTTGAGAGAATGTGTGTCTTGTACGTCAGTCGAACAGCAGGCACAAACCAACTGGCCATGGCAGACGTCGATACAAGCGCCGAGGTGTGGACGC